AGGGATGTAAAGGATTAACCAGTTATCCAGTAGCTGTCAGCTTTACCAGCATGCTTACTGGGGTAGCCAGCGAGCTGGAGCAGCCTGCAGTTTGGTGTGACTGGCATGGCATCTACCTGCCCAGGGTGTGGCCAGCCTGGTCCAAACAACCCACAGTGCAGTGGGCTTGGCCCGGCCTGGCTGAAGCAACCCGTGGTGGGACCAACCATTCTAGAGAAGCCCCTTTTCTGCGGTATCCTGGTTAACCAGTTACACATAAGTTTAACCCGTTAAAAATTGGGATTTTACATCCCTAGGTACAATGTGTGCCTTGTGTCCCTCTCATGACTAACCTATACAAAGGATGACAACCTAGTTCAGGTTGAACCTCTCTAATCTGGCACTCTTGGGTCCACCAACATTTGTGGTCTGGCATGATTTTAGTTAGTCGGGTGTCCACTGGTGGGTGTGGCCAATTTTCCTGCTGTCCCATAAAGTTTGTTTACAGCCACCAGTTTGGCTCGCTGTTCTGTGCTGTTATCTAGCTCTCACTTACCCCCTAAATGTCTTCTAAGAGCTTAGTAAGCAGTGGAAGTATTGGTAATGCTGGTAGACAATATTGACCAGTGGTTCAGCATTAGTTCAGCAACTTTGGGATCTGACCAGAGAGGTTCAACCTGTCAATAGAATCTCAGAGTTACGTGGACCCGTCTACCGTCCCCTTCCCTTGGAACCTCTTACAGAGGCAGTGGGGGGTAGGCAGGAGCCAGTGCTGGGGCAGGGAGCCAGTTTAAAAGCCGCCTATCTCCTGCCTCCTGTGCTGCTGCCTCTGAATGGAGCAGGGGGAGGGAGGAGTAACTACCGCAAACCATCTTCTGTATTGGCATGTAGGAGCCAGTCTACACAGGGAGCTGTATCAGAGGCAGCAGCACAGGCTGGCACAGGGCTCCCCAGAAGTGGGCCGGGAGCACACTGACTGCCAGCCCCACCCTAGAGGACTATCAGATAGTTGTGTAAACTGCTAAAATTTGATGTGGTTACAAAACTATTCAGTTACGTGCTATCTAACATTCCTGTACTCTATATGCTTTTTTTGTCTGTGCAGCTGCATGATTGTGTACTCGTACAGGCAGTCCCCGGGTTACGTACGAGATAGGGACTGTAGGTTTGTTCTTAAGTTGAATTTGTATGTAAGTCGGAACTGGCGTCCAGATTCAGCCGCTGTTGAAACTGACCAGCAGCGGCTGAATCGGACACGCCTGGGGCAGAGCAGCTGGGGTGCTGCTGGGTTGGTCCAGTAGCGCCGCACCTCGGCACTGTGGGACCAACCCGGCAGCCCCCCAGCTGCTCTACCCCAAGCGTCGGCGAGAAAAGCCTGGTCTGCTGGGGGG